CTTCCTCAGTTTAGCTGCAAGGATACTGTAAGGAGACGGTGTCAAATCCTTTACTGAAATCGAGATAGACCACATCTACTGCTTTACTATCGTCTATCCACCTGGTAATGTCCTCATAAAAGGCTATCAGGTTGGTCAAGCATGACTTCCCCTTGGTGAAGCCATGTTGACTGCCTCTAATGACCTTCTTATCCCTGATATGCCTGGAGACAGCATCAAGAATAAGTTGTTCCATCACCTTTCCAGGGATGGAAGTGAGGCTGACCGGTCTGTAGTTACCCGGGTCCTCCTTCTTGCCCTTCTTGAAGACTGGAGTGATATTCGCTTTCCTCCAGTCCTCGGGCACCTCCCCCATTTCCCATGATTTACCAAAGATGATGGAGAGTGGCCTAGCAATGACTTCCGCCATCTCCCTCAGCACCCATGGGTGCATCCCATCAGGACCCATGGATTTATGGGTGTCCAGCTTACTTAACCGGTCCTTAACCCAGTCTTCATCTACCAAGGCAAACTCCTCCTTTGTCCTGACTTCCTCTGGGGCTTAACAAGAGTTATACCCTATTTTAATTCAAAAGGAACTGCAGTTTTATTTTCTCAAAGGTATTTCGGGAAGGAGTTACTTGCATAGAGAACTAAACTACTGAAATAGGGATATATTGCCATTCTGATGTGTCATCATATCTGCTCTTCACAATGGAAGACTTGCAGGAGTACGCCTGATAACATTTGAGTGAGCCAGTGTGTGTGTGTGTGTGTTACTAAGACAAAACCCTCAGTGATAAATCAGAATCATAATTCTTGGGGTCTCAAGATCTTCACACAGTTTTTTTTAGCCCCTAAGCATTTACTGTAGGCTATTTACTTTTGGGGACAGCTTTACTTTAAAACTACTTCATCTTCTAAATTATATTAAGTAATCATATTATTTTACAGGGATAACAGCTTCTAGAAGTCCACAGGCAAAAAATACAGCCAGTGAGTCTACACTGATTAAGAGGTACGTTAGTACATCTACAAATCTGTTCCCTGATGTTAGCTAGGTCTTTCTAGCTGTAAAGCATTTGAGGAGGGCAGCAAAGCAGGAGCCTTACACACCACTTTTAGAAAGCAAACCACTAATTCCATTTCAAGAAGAGAGATGGCAGAGCAGTGAGGCTGCCCCAGCAGACATCTGCACGACTGCTTGGCACCACCAACAGCAAAAGCAAGCAGCTTTTCAACCCAGAAATTTACTACTTTTGAAAGTCAAACATTTTATCAGCAAAGTACACAAACTAGCCAGTCAGGGAAAATATTTTAAAGTACTTCAGCATTTATTTTGAGAATATTTTCCAGTATCAGGTTTCATCAATCTGTTACTGTCCCATATTTCTTAAGAACTAAACAGAACTACTGTCTGGTAACATGGAAACAATCACAAACAAGCAGAGAGCCATGGTCTTGAAAAAGACCATGCCTTGTTTTCTGAAGATGGATAGCCAGAATGAGACGTGGTGCTTCCCATTTCACACTGAGACCATCCATGTCATAGTGATATTCTATACATCACTTAATTACAGGCTGGTTTTGCTTAGTGGTAAAAAAACTGATTTAAAGGTTTAGTTAGTAAATATTTTTGGATCATCTGATTATTTGCCATCAACTTCTCCCCAAAATGAAGTCAGCCATCCTCAATGTAAATATAATTCTTCAACCACATAATTTAAAAAATAAGACTTATTTGAATACAAACTAATGCAGACATTTAACCTAATGTTCTTTAGTTCCCATTTCTACAAGTTAGTTATCTTGCCTGAAAAACAACTATGTAGTAGGGAGATGAGTTACTTAAGCATTTACCTGTATTTCTGATAGGCTGGCTGATAAAACATTTTAGATTAACTCATAAGTCTAAGCTTTTTTATTAGTGATTGTCTATACAAGCACCTCTTATAGACACATCACAACAGTATCTTATTTGTTTCTTAAGAACACTGGCCACCCAAATAATCCTTGTTTTAAGGAAAAGTAAGCTCAGTATGCACTAAAGAGATTCATTTTTTAGGTTAGCTTTGGAGAGGCCCTCCAGAATTTTTTTTCCAATTTTGTCATTGCTGTTTTTGCAGCTTCCTCAGACTCATTACAGTCATCTTCCACACTCATAGACTCATACACATTCAGCAGTTTAAAATATTTCCACATAAAGCTAGTTTTCCTTTTGCTTTATGAGTTTGTTTAATCTACCACACTCTATAAATGCAAGGAAATTTTCATCTACTACAGTTTATACAAATTTCAATATAAGCATGGTACCCAGCTCTGTGATAAAGCAAACACACTTTAAGAGCTGTCTTGAATTAGCAGTTCCCTCGTCCCATTTGGATCCCAAAGAAAACATTTATGCTAACCTCATGGTGCACATGTTAAATATCTTCCTGTGACTGCCTCAAGTGGCCACTAACATTTAAGCATGAAGCAGCCCCAACATTAAGAGATTTTCCTTGCTATTATCGGCTGAAATGAGGCCTTAACATTACCTACCTTAGTAAACACTTTTTCAATCTAATTTTTCCTTCACTTGAACACATTTCTAAGAATCATTCTATGTAAGAATTAGTGAGACCATTGCACACTTTGAATAGGACTAAAAAGCAGCACAGAAATCAATTGTTACTAGAATGAATTGTATATTAAGTGTTTACATCAAAAGCAAATACCTAAAACAGTTAACTAAGTTATTTTCAATTTTTGCTTCATACAATGAAAATATGTACTGATCCTGTACCAAACATTGTGATGGCTATGAATTTGTACTCTATCCAATGCCTTGTGTGCTCTCCCTCCATCACAAGTCAGCTGTCTATGTATAAGGACTAAAGATCATGCTTCTGAGCGTTAGCAATTCTGTGCCATTTTTTTATTAATATCTACAGCAATAAAATTTAAACCTGTCCTTGTATTTGGCATTGTTATTGTGAAGTTTTGATATAGTTAAAAATAATCTTAGGATTCCTTTGTTATGGCTATCTCATAAGACAAAAAATATTTCGTTAGAATTTCTAAAAATATTATAATTTTCTACTAATCAGAAGTTGGCAGAGCTACGTTATTTTCTTAGACCATAAAAATCAACTTCTATTGGACATTTTCCTCACCTTTTCTGTCTGGTTTGAGGTTCCGATCCACTGGCGGCGGCTCACATTCTGCAACAGGTACTGATCGTCTGGGAGGGGTCTTTGGACTGGACCTGAAACCCATGTGAGCTGGAGGAGGGACTTGCTTCCCAAATAATGGAAAATCAAACGTGCCTGGTGTCATTGGTACATAGTTTGTTTCCTGGATGGGTTCAGTGAAGCTGCTGGAATGCTGTCGTGGAGGAGAGTTGGGATTCATTGGGACATAATTTTCATCTAGTTCTTCACTTGAAACACTTCCCACTGTCAACATGCTTCTGTTTTTCTAGAATTAACATATATTTCCTTTAACAAAATAAGTTATGCAATCAGCTGTGAATCATATGAGTTTTTAACCTACTCAGATTAATATATTCTACTGAAACTAGGAAAAAAAAAAAAATCACAAACACCATACAGCTTGCTTTTTTACATGGGAACAAAGAGCATCCAAGCACTGTCACTGTCGCCTCTCATCCGATCAAGTCATACTTACAAAGTAGTTATGGAAGCCCTCCAATGAATTAGATCTGTCATTCGGAAACGTTCGTGGAATATCATAACAGTCTTGAGAACTAATTTCTAAAGAAACAAGAAGAGAAAGTGGCTATTTATCATCCCTGTTCCTGTCACTTGGCACCAGGCACCCAGCGTCTGCTGTTATTTACTGTCTGCTTCGGAGAGCAGACAAACACACCTCCTGAAGTTGTAGCCCAATAGATTTTATCTTTATACTTGAGAAGACTGTGTTCACAAACAAACTTAGCCATCATCAGTCACAACTTGAATCTCTTATAGTGGCATTTTTCTACAGCAACAAAAGAAAAAGTAATTTTTCTTTTTAAAGCATCAGCAAAGTCTTCCTTACAATAAATTCTTGCACCTGCCTATTTGCAAGAGCAGGTTTTGAGATACTGGGCCCTCCTGAAAAACCTACTCTAAAATAAACAAACAGCAGATATCATTCAGGGTCTGTAGAGAGGTTTTCCAACTGAACACCCTCCCTTGGGAAGTGCTGCTTCATCAGGTTATAATCTGTTCCGGGAACAGGCGAACCCCTGCTCTGTGCTCCCCGATATTGTCTCCAGGGGCTTTCAGTTAGAGCAAACTGCTGCAGAACCAGAGATCTCTCAGGTTTCGGGCTCCCGTCAGTCCGCATTAAGAAGATTCTCAGCTTTTTGTTTCCCTCTCTGGTGGACAGGGGTATCTGGGAGACATCTGTCCCCAGGTCCTGGGCCCTGCAGGTGACAGGCTGCCTCACCCTGCAACAAGCACACCCTTCCTCCTGATGCCCAGAGCAAAACCGTGGGCAAACTCTGGGTTTTATCCCCACCTTGCCCTGAAAAAAAGCAGCTCTCAAGTTTTTTTGAGATTTCCACCTCGAAAGCAAAATAAACACTTCTATTAAGTGCCAAACTAAAGAAAGGCTGCTTTTCCCAAGACCGACCATCTCAGCTTTAGCATGAGAGTACTCACTTGGAAACTTAGCAAAATGAGAGAAGATAAACGAAGTGAAGCAAACAAGGGTCTTTCAGGGTTTTACTCCGTCATTTTAAAAACACCAATAACCACCAATATCATTATCCTTAGCCTACAGAATGAATGGCAAACAGGATAGTACTATCTGAGCGCCTGTATGATCACAGGCACTCTGTATTGCCTCCTCTAAAAGCCCTGTCGCCAGCCCCATCCTCATTTCAGCCTCCCATCCCATATCTAGCACAACTCAAACAGTTCTCCTTTAAAACTCCCTCAGACATTAGCATCGACTCCAACCAGTTTAAAATTTCACCTTAAAAACAACACGAATGCCCACCTGCCTCAGGAACCTGAAAAAAAATCAATCTCTTAGTCCAAGAGTGGTTAACAAGACCAGAATGACTGCTCCCTGTAACAATAAATACCAGCTTCCCAATCTCTACCTCTCACTACATTTCTCAAGTTTAAATCTGAGAGAATACGAACAGGGAGAAAACGAAAAAAAAAAAGGCAACAGGAGAAAAAAAACCAAAACCCAACAAATTCTTTAAGTAAAAAGTAGCTCCACTGAATTAACTAGGACCCAAAATACACCCAGCCACTAAAGGAAAAACAGTAAGAAAAAAAACGCACTAGCACATCTGTATACCAGCATTCAGGTGACTATAAGAAGCAACTTGAATTTTACTTAAAAACTGCAGTATGCACATTTATCATAAGGAGAGAAACAGATTTTGGTGGCAATGATCACCAGATCAGAGTTTATCTCAAAGCCCTGAGTATACATTAAATTGCACTGACCTAAATTAAATACTTTCAGCTTCTGCAGATTTGGACCCACTATATGCTAACCCTACTTTGGCTGTTCTGAAAGACTGATAACAGCAGTACTGAACTCACTTATATGAGCTTATTAGCAAAAAAAAAAAAAAGATTACTTCTTCACTGCTGTTTTTCTAAAGACTAGTAACCTCATGAATATGCCTAGGTCTTCAAATATTTTTAGCTAAGACTGAATGCCACAGTGCAATATACATCCCTTAACGATGCTCTGTGCTTTGCTTGAGTTTCTTTGAGTAATCTTCTCTTTTTCCTCTTTCTTGCATATTTTAAGCATTGCAACCCCTGACCTCCTTGTGAACGGCTACACCTTTGTTTATAAAGACTAGAAGTGCCCCTCATATCATTCAGCCATTCGGTATCATTCATATCTCATAATTCATCACAAGAGTATATCATTGAACACAACAATTCTGAAAGACCAGGGTAAAACGTGGAATACTGACCTTTACGAAAGATATTCAGATCTACAGTTGAAATGGTATTACTGCGTGAGGGCGGCACTCCTGCTGTAGGGATGCAATAACTACTGTCAGTATCCGAAGCTGTGCGACTTATGCTACACGTTTCCACAGGAGATCGATCTGCAGCATGGTGAGGTTTTGGTGGCCGAGGTGGAGGAATATCTGGAATAGTCTCCAGTTTTGAAGTCTGAGACAACGTTCCCTCTGGGAAAGTTCGTGGAATCTGATAAGTACCTCCAGGTGTGGGGGGAATGTCATAGCTAATGGAGATGTGTCTCATCTGCGTGTCTAATGAGGATGTTGCTGACGGGGTATTGAAAACATGTTGCTCTCCTTCCGCATCAGTCCCAGATGGAGACGCTGCCTTTGGTAAAACATCCTGTGAGTAACTCCTAGGCAGGTTGTAAAGGCTGCAGTCTGCCAAGGTCAGTCCAGCACGAGAAGGTGGAGAGTCATAGACACCTTGCTGCTGAAAAAAGCCATTCACAGCATGCTTGCTCACAGATGGAGCAGGGTTTTTGTGGGAGGGCACGTTATCATTGCAGTCTGTTTCAGAAGAGCTCGATTTTGCTGAGTCAGCATGAGATCTACGCATAAGATTGTAAGATTAAAAATGTTGATGAGCATATGAAGAAAAACAAACATTACAAATAATAAACACAGCATTTACACTGTAAACAACTTAAAGGTCTATCAGTGTCTTCCAATTTTTTTTTTAGATGAAATGCAAAAACTCAATTATTAAACAAACAGTAGTACTTAAGATGGATCCTAAGTAATTACGCACATTCCAATCCATGCATGTGAAACAGATAATACAAGCGTGGAGCTTTAGCAGCAGACAAACAACATGATGTTTCATAAAGCAAGTGACTTCCAGGAAGCCAATTTGAAGCAGAGATTGTTTGGGGGTTAGGGGATTTTTTATTTTTTTTTTAAACACATGCTGCAAACTAGCAGCACTTTATTGGTGCTGTTAAAGGTAAAAATAATACACTCAAATATTAGGTTTACGGTACTTGCTAGCTCTTATCAGTATGAAAAAAAAACATTAGAGGAAAAAATACAACTGCTTGTAACACCTTTAAGTTCATGACTAAAGTTATCTACTGACCATATAAAACTGGTTCAAAACACAAAGGAGAGACATAATAGATAAGAACAGAAATAGGAGGAAGACAGTACGTTCTTTGGAAAAAAAAAATCCATAGGACATACGTACAACAGAGTGCTTTTGACTTGAATGCAAGTTGAGACAGTGTTAGCTAAAACTGCACCATAGTTTAACTTGGATTTCTTTGGAAATTCCATCTTTTATGAGAACAGCACTCACCAATACTGGTACTAACCGGTACCAGTACACTTACACAGAAAGCAAACACATTGCAAACTTTTTTTTTTCTCCTTTAAACCTCCCCAGTTACCTTGCTCCAAGCAGAAAAGTCCTGTTATCAGCCTGACTCCTTGCTTAAATGCAAGTCAAGACAGTGGCAAAATACTAACACAGGGTGACGTTAATGCAGTCCATACACTTTTTGATCAATCATACCATGATATTTCCCATTTTCACTACCACGGTACCATACTGCTGTGTTAATATATATCTAAATATTTCAGCATGTGCATGTCTCAACGAATAGCTGCTATACTACTAAGCTCTATCAAGCAACTGGACCATGCAATTCATAAAAATTCTGAGGAATAAAAGACATAAAAATCAACAGCATGAGTACCACAAGAAATATTTTTTTCCTTTAAGACTCTCTACCTCAAAGCGATCACAACCAGAATTTATTATTCACATTTCAATTTGTTGATAAAATCACACAAAAGTTTATTTCTTAAGGGACAGCTGGATTTATCTCCTGGGGTTCTGGTAACCTGAGGAGAAAGGAATCCAGCTTAGCTATTCACTTAGGTCTCCTCCGCAGTCATCAGAGAAATGAAGGCTGTGTGAAACACAATCTGTTCTTAGATATCCATCTAAAGGTGATGAATCACTCCCAAAGTGCCTCTCTGCTAGCTATCAAGGGAACCGACATGATTAGCTTAGACTGGACATCTGCAGTCAAGAAACATGTCATTCACCTAACCAACTGGTTTTTGTTCTGTTTAATAGCAGAGATACAATCTTCCACCAGCCCCAGCAGCTTATGAGAGTTCTTCTCCGGCTTTAATTATATCACCTTCTTCCATTAGCTTGTTCTTTTGGTGTGGGGTTTTTTCATTAGGAAGAAAGCATACTAATTTTGCTCTGGTTACTATTTTAAACGTAGATTTAAGTTCTGTCTCGCTGTTCGGAACTGGTTTCTAGGTGACTCTGAATATTAATTTGCATTTAGCACATAGGACTGAAGGAACTACACAAGGTTACTGAGTGCATAATAAATTGTGAACACACTGCATGACGAGTAACACTGAGCTTAGCCCCTGCTGCAGCCCTTGCTCTTAACTCAAAGGATTCATTCAGGAGTTCCTCACTTTCTAGACGTACTCTTCTAGCTCTGCAGTATTCATTCAGACTGAAGTCCCAGCAAAAGCCACATGTTTTACACAAGCAGCTATGGCAAGGATTGTGATCTGCGTTTTACATGTTATAACAATAAAGTGGGCAGTCTGAAGAAGCTGGACACTGACAATCAATCATAGAACCAAAATTATTAGTTCCAGTTCACTAGGATATACTTCAAAACGAAAAAACTTGCAAAGCTACAAAAATAAAATATAAACACTACCATTTATCTTACAAAAACAGAACAGAAATGCACATAATCAAAAAAGGGTACAATCAATGTTATTTTTCAATTCGTGGTTTGTACACAGGATCACTTTCATCCATTTTGCCATGCACAAGAACTCAAATGAGTTCTAAAGTATTTTCCACACATAAAAGCACAGCAGATGTCCTTAAAAACAACCAGCTTACCAGCTTTGGGCACTATGGTGTTTGTACAGACATCAGGGCACATTATAACGATGCCACATTTTATGTGACTCTACAGATGCACATCATGCAGGAGTATATAGCCAAACCTCAAGATGCTACAACAGCATGATGCCAGGGCTTAAAGATTACCCATCATATGTAAGCACCAAACGCTATAATTTTTTAATTTAGGAGTTTTCTGGGTCTAAATGAATGCTGTTGCTTCTTTCTTGACCACGAGCATTTGTGAAAACAACAGACTGACAAAAACCATGACCCTTCATGATAGCCAGGTCTGTCACTTGCTTAGCTGATGGCAACACATTACCTTTCTCATTGTAAGATGGCATTTCTGATTTACTTCACATTTTTAAAAACAATCTTTTGGAACCAACTTCTTAGTCTATTGAAATAGTTTTCAAAATATGAATGGATTGCAACCAATCTGGTTTTGCAAGACCAGAAGTTTGAAGACAGTTTGAAGCACGGGCCAAGAAATCAGTTTATGCCAAAATGAAGACAGGGAATTCAGTCTCCAAAGTTTAAATAGTTTTCAAAAGTCAGTGTTAACTACTGCCCAATTCTGAAAACCTACATGTATATTTGATTCACATTACCTCAAGGCAATTTAGGCTAGGACTAGAGTTCAAAGACAGACTTTACTCCCTTTTTGTTTTGTTTTGTTTTTTTTAAAATATTTCAGATGCAGGATGGTGGATGACTTCTGCATTTAAGAACGTTACCTGAAAACTTTAATGTTTCCCCACAAATTCAGAAGAGCTCAGCAAATAAAAAAAATCAGTTGGCTTAAATATTCTGTTAACAATTGATTATTAAGAGTAATATTAATGGTGTTTTACACCTCAGTTTAAAATAACAGCACAGCTGGATGTAACACAATGAAAACTCCTCACCCTATTTATAAGCAGATGACAACTGTGCCATGAACTCAGTGTTATCACATGTGGACATCACATATCTGCTAATTACGCTAAGTGGACAAACTACTCCCTACTCAGTGCTAAGACTGGACACCGGTTCCCTCATATCAAGAAGAGGGAACTGTACAGCCTGCTGATCTGCAAGGACCGTATGTTAAGAAGCAGAGAGCAGAGGTGGGGTATTAGGGCAGGAGGAGCCCAGTAAAAAAGCCTGCCTCCATGTACTAAAAACTACTTGTTAATAGGAAAAAAGTTTCTGAAGTATTTTAGTCTGAGGAGCAATCATCCCATTTTTGAATATGCTGTATTCGGTCTGGCCTGACCACTCATCCTTTTGAGCTGATTCTTTTCCTATCTGCAGGAATTGATATGACTGATCAAACATAATACCATGAACAACATTGCAGCAAAAGTGCTCTTGTGTGCCAGCAATCTGAGATAAAAACAGCACGCATAGTCAAAATGTGGATAGATAAGTATAAATAAAACCAACTCTATCTTGATTATAGCTATGGCCAGAAAACGGAAGCCACAGCTATAGTTTTTCTGTTAAAACTCACAGAACACCATGCAAGATGCATCTCAAACAAACAATATTTTCAGGCAAGTTAATGGCTCTGTGATTAATTTCTCACACGCGTTCCAAGAATGGCTACTGTTCACTCACTGCAGCGGAATCTTTTTACTTTCAAAATCTTCTAATAGCAGGTATTCCTGCCCTTCTTCTGAGAGAAAGGGTGACCCTTGGCTGGTTCACAAACACAGGAAAGATGAGGAAGACAGCATTTAGTATTTCAATACACCTCTCAAGTGAGTCAGAACATAAAGGGTTTTGGAAATAGTCTTTGGCTGCATTTTCTTACTTACAGTCCAAACCCTTAAAAATCTCACTAAATGCTACAGCTGAACAATGATTTTTCTCAAGTCAACAGTGATCAGAGCATAAAACTATTTTTGACCGAATACTGCATGATTGTTACAGCTGCAAGCGCTGCATCCAAGATATTCTCACAACAGTACATAGTGCATTGCACGACACTGTAATGAACCATTTCAAAATTATTTCTTGGTTCTAAAACACCAGAATTCTTAAAATTTCAGAGGCAGCTTGGACACTTCATCTTTCTCCGTCACCCGCCTCAAAGAATCCCAAAGCCTTGAAATAAAGTTCAGTGGTTCCCAGATTATCAGTAAAGTAACACACAAAATCAGAACAGAAAACGTTCCCTCTGCATATCGGCAACTTCGAAGTCTAAAGGGAAAACAGCATAGAAATAAACCATTCAAGTAACAATACCTGCCTATTTAATTACACCTATTAAGCTTTGCACTTTACACTAGGGAAAAAAGGTTGTATAAACATACATGTTTTATTATATATATGTAAACCTAAATTGTTCCAAGTCTGGAAATTAAGAGGAAAGTTATATGCAGCCATTTATTTTCAGTTCACGTGTAAGGATGTGGATTGATCATTTTAGTAACATGCTACGCAGACACACAACTCTCTAATTTCCTAGGAAAAGGTCTATATTCTATCCTCTAGCCCAAATCCAGCAGCATACCTACTGTACCAGACATGAAACATAAGCAGTCTTTTTATGCGGAATTGAAACTCCAGCATACCTATTATTCTGATTTTTCGTTATTACAGCCTTCTTAATAAAAAGACATAGCTATTTAGTGAACTTAATTAAATATAACACACTAAGCCCAAACAATTTCCAAGCAATCACAATGCTAATGTTTCACTGTCTTCAAATATTCCTGTAAAAACATCATTTATTTAAACAATCTCTACACTCCCAAAGACTTTAAGTTCTTTCTCAGTTCCCTCAGCATTTTATCTCCATGGGACTTTCTGCCTTCCCCACCCCACAGATACCTTCTCTCCTGTGTCACCAGAGTCTTCCTCAAGAAATTCTGCAGGCTATTCACAGCCTCTACGCCTTGCCCCATTTTATGCCCCCCTTTTATGGTCTCCTCAGACTTTCCTCCCTCTGCTCAACCCACACATCACACAACTGCACAAGTCTGGTCAGAAAGTGAATTACACATCCCAGCCTTCATCATTCCTAACAACAGGCTTCACGTGGTGTTAGAAATCCACTTTGTGCCTGTCCCTCGCAGAGGCAAAAGGGCCCTCGGACACATTTCTGATGAGCCCAGGTGCTGACATTAAAAGTCAAGACTTCTCTGCCAAGCTGTTCTGGAAACAATACCAAACTTTGATAGCTTTTAGCAGAATAGTGACATACCTCTTGGGCACCATCAAATTTTAAGAATTGCTAAATATTGAAACCTTTAACACTGAGAAAGCAGACACTGGGTCTCCCCTTCTCTTGCAGGAGGCTTTGCAGGCACACGGTGCTGCCTGTAACCTGCACATTCCACACTCTGGGGGAACTGCAGGCTCATTCCTCCCTTTTTTAAGGAAGATTTTAAAGGGTGGATGCTTTTCTACCGTGTAATCATCAGTAAACAGAGCAGGAAACTCCTCAGGCACAAGAGAGCAAGATAAAACACCAAGGGAGCAGAGAGCACATGGCACAAGCAAAACTGGCAGAGCATCAAGGTGCTGATGAGGAATACACCACCGCTAAAAGGTATGGCCCTAAGGGAGTATGTGAAATACTCATGAAAACACTTTCAAAGGAACCCTTCCTCGGCCTGCCATGTAATTGTCTGCAATCACAAAAAGAATATGACATCTTGTTTATTTTTCTGGAAATACCCCAGCAGATTTTATTTGAAATTGCTGCAGAAAAGAAGCTTGCCAGAAAGATTTATAAGGTTCTCCCACAGAGCACTCAAGGTTGGAAAGGACCTCTGGAGATTATCTGGTCCAGCTCTTCCAAAACCTCTAAGCAAAGCCGACTTCAAAGTCAGGTGAGGCCCTTAGGAGCTTGTCCAGTCACCTTCATTGGTGGTTTTTGGTTTTGTTTTTTACATCTCAGAGAATAGAGATTTCCCTAAGTCCCTGGGCATCCTGCTCCAGGGATGGCCACCATGATCCACTCTGAAAAACCACTGCAGCATTTCTCAGGTGGTTACCATAAATATCACATCCTCCTATACAAGAGGTGCTGTACATCTATTTAGTTAGAAGCAACAGTTGGAGCAATAAATGTACATGTAATTTAGTAGACATTCTCCATTCTTTCCTTAAAAATTCCTATTGCACACTTCTCCGGAGAATTGAGAAATAAGTGAGAAATAAGGCTTATTTGAGCTTGGTTTCAAATATCTGTTATTTGGAAGAAAGTTAAAATTCAGGATACAGAAATTGAGTAGTTTAAGTCGCCCTTTCTTACTTAAAAGTAAAACAATTATCTTTTGCACTCACTTGAGAGTCTGAACCACGTTAGTAATAGTCAACAAATTCTATTTGAGCATTGCTGTATTCAGTGATATGATAACATGGCAGGTGATAATAAATATCAGTATCTTTACCGAATTCCTTCTATGAAAGCTTCAACTGGCAGAACTAGGGCACCAAAGGGGAGAAAAAGGCTAAATTTCTCCAGCTTTTTCTAGTCGTAGACTGGACTAAACACACCAGATTGTGGCTAAAGAAAGGGTACTCACAGAATCACACAGAATCACAGAATGTTAGAGATTGGAAGGGACCTCGAAGGATCACCTAGTCCAATCCCCCTGCCGGAGCAGGACACCTAGATCAGATCACACAGGAACGCATCCAGGCGGGCTCTGAATGTCTCCAGAGAAGGAGACTCCACACCCTCTCTGGGCAGCCTGTTCCAGTGCTCTGTCACCCTCACCGTGAAGAAGTTTTTCCTCATATTCAAGTGGAACCTCCTATGTTCCAGCTTGCACCCATTGCCCCTTGTCCTGTCACTGGATGTCACAGAGAAGAGCCTGGCTCCATCCTCCTGACACTCACCCTTCACGTATTTATAAACATTGATCAGGTCACCCCTCAGTCTCCTCTTTTCCAGGCTAAAGAGACCCAGCTCCCTCAGCCTTTCCTCAGCAGGGAGATGCTCCATTCCCTTCATCATCTTGGTGGCTCTGCGCTGGACTCTCTCCAGCAGTTCTCTGTCCCTCTTGAACTGAGGGGCCCAGAACTGGACACAATATTCCAGATGCGGTCTCACCAGGGCAGAGTAGAGGGGGAGGAGAACCTCTCTCGACCTACTGACCGCCCCCCTTCTGATACACCCCAGGATGCCATTGGCCTCCTCTGCTCTATGCCATGCATCGCTTCAGGCTGTAATGAAATGCTTGGATCACTGCTTTTATCTGACACTTCATATTGGCAATTACTGTTCACACTTTTAAAGAATGCAATATCTAGAGCTGATCAAACAACTGACTATTGCTGCAAGAAGTTCAAGCACAGAAAAAAAAAAAGAAGCAAAAAAGTTACAGGCAGCTTCCCCCCACAGATTATGTGCATCCAAGTGTTAACGACTCAGCAATAAAAAGAAAAGAGTGCTTTTAAGCACAAACATTCTTGGCCTGTAATACAAGTAAGTGTTATTAAGAAAAAAATGTTACTTACCTTACAGGTTCAGGTTTTTTACTCTGACAGTTTATTAGCAGTAGGTAGTCTTGAGGATCTTCTTGACCAGAGGAGGACTCCAGTGGGGGGATATTAATAAGCTGGTAAGGAGGAGGTAGGGAAGATTCTGCTTGCATAGAAGGTGGTGAAGTGTTGATGGGCAAGGGTAACTCAGCAGATGTTTGTACAGAACTGACTGGTGGCTTCACAGCATCTGCAAACATAGGAGCACAGCTTTTTTTTAATATTTTTTTTCTATCAATGAATAGTCTAACACTGTTACAAAAAAAATAACACAGGATGAGAAAAGTAAAGGTTTTAAATTCAAAATTGTAAAAATCGGTGGACATAAGAACACCTGGATATTAACATTTGCTTCAGAGTAGTTGCATTTATATATAAATCTTCATAATTTATATTTTTGCAAACTGTAATCAATTGCTTAAGTATGCCTTGGAAACAGAGGTTATGCCTTATTTAATGACTTATTTAACCTGTTCTCTGGTCACAGAAAGAACAAAGCTGCTGACAGCTGCAGTAAGACAGCTAAGAACACAAATCTGTTGTTTTAATCAAGAGCAGACAAAGGCCCATAAGGTTATTACTTGAATACAGTAACCTGAGTCAGAACTTGCACATTTTCATCCCTTTCCGACCAAGGGCACTTCAGCGTTTGAGTGTAATCACCAGTCAAGAACTGACCTCTCTCAATATGCAAAAAGCAACAGGAAAAACGTTGGTTTTGCAGTGGAAGATCCCCTTGCAACTACCAAACCAATACAGAGGTACAATAGCTACCATGTTCCAGTAAACCCCCTCATTACATACCCTTTTTATTTTAGTGAAATAAATTAAATAGTTATGGCTTTTTGTTGTTTGGTTGGATAGTTTTGGATTTTTTGGGGTTTGTTTTTTTTGGGGGGGTGTGTGTTATTTTGTTTCGGGGTTTTTTTTCCCTAAAATAACCTTGTCTTTATTAGTCAACTTCCTATTCATGTATATTCTAGAGTAACTTATTTTTTCCTCCAAATACATGTATCCTGACTATTAAATTATTTGGGAAACTGGAAAAATATTGACACTGTCAAACATTAAACAATCATTTCACTTTTTCAGTGTTTTAATGACACATTGACTAGGAACAACATAATTAAGCAAATTGTTCCTCAATTATCAAGGCTCCCTTGTACTTGCAACTCACTGTACATTCCAATTTGCACATCCCAAGAATGGATGCTGATTATTAGCGTCACTTAAACGAACATATTATTATCCAATGCAGACTGCTCCTGCTAGGTTTAGTGGCCAGCTCTGCACTACAAAGTAACTTAATCCAGCTTCTGCTTCCCAGTACTATTCTGGGAAGAACCAGATGAGCAGACGAGAACACAGCCCTTCTGCTTCCAGCTCTGTGTGCAGTAGGCACAAGTGATTTACACGTGGAAATAGGAACAGCAGAACTTGCTTTGAACTCCCATGGCACTTACACAGGCTCAGAAATTAAATCCCACCACACCCATGTGGGTGGAAGAAGTCTAGATGTATGAAAATTCCTCAACTCAACCTACCTGAAAAGGTAGGAGAATCTAAAAAAGGTTTTTATAAAAGGTTGTGCCTGACCTATCCATCAAACCAGTTAGCAGAAAAAAGGCAAAATGAGACTGCCCCCCATGATCACACATGCACAAGAGCAAAACGGTTTATTTACCATATGCTAAAATGTTAAAATATGAACAATTTCAAGAGAATCTGAAGAGTCTGAAGAAGCATATTTAAGGCACGTACTGATATTTCTTCATTTTCCTAACATCACGGTTCAACAGCAGGCACAGAGAGGTGTCTGACTGGACCCACCAGGCGTGTACTTCTCGCTTCTGGAAAAGAGGTAGTGGGACAAAGGACAAGCAGCTCCCTGTCCTCTTCCCTCCAGAACCAAGGACTGCAAGTAAGTTTATGCCCCAGTAAGGGTGGAGAAGAAAGGTGTCCTGCCAGATGCACCATCATTCGCTGGCCACACTCACAGACGAGATCCTGAAGGGCTTCAGTGTACGACAATCCCCACCCCAGCTCCTTGTCCCTGACTACACATGACCTTCATGTCATTAGACGTACTTGGTGCCAAGTTCACACAAGGGGAAAAACGAAATCAAACAGGACGTCCCTGCAGCTTCCAGGGAAGATGGGTGTGTCAGACCTCAGGTAGTCAGGAGAGCTCAACAGGCATATAGTAAGATGCGTGCCTACGTGAGGCTGATGCATTTAAGCAAACCATGCACTAGCATTCCCAGGAAAAGTCACAAGACTCAAGGGTAACTCTCCAGGGAAAAATAAAATCAAGAAGCTGTAAAGACAACCAATACATACACCAAGTCTAGAGAAAGAGTTTCTTGGGACAGGATGGAATAAAACGTGAGTTTAAGAGAAAAAAAAATAAGTTAAAGGCTGGCTATAGCTTGTAATTGGTGAAGGAGGCAAGGTGCTGAAGACCATTAAGCGAAATATACTGGCTCAGATCTGTAGTCTCTGAAGCCCACGATGCCATCTCCAACGGTGGCTGTTGCAGACAGACAGCACAAGCAGCAAGGCAAGCCACCACACCGCCCCCAGCTTCTGGGGCTCTGCAGCTCCGGCTGCATCCACAGGCTGCGCTTACCAGCCTCTGACAGACCTTCCTCTGAATTTGTCCGACCCTTTGGAGTACGTTTCTATTTCTGAACTCTACGACATCCTGTGGCAGCGAGGTCCACACCTTATCATGTGGCATGAAAAAAACCACTTGATTTTATTTTAAATCTGCTGCCTTTCACTTGATCTCCTTCTGCTCCCAGCTTCAAAGAAGCAGTGAACGATCATCTGCTATTCATAATCCCCAGTCTCAATTTTACACAACTTCATCACAGCTTTACTCAGTTGGCACTGCTTAATTTCTCTTGGTACAGAAGCCATTTCATCGCAGATCTGGTTTTCCTTCACCCTCACTGCTCCTACCTCTACTAATTCCTTAAGGGAAACCAACAATTGCATAAAACGTGAAACAAGAAAAAAATCACACTTATTGATTTACATTCTGTCCCTATCCTAACCATTTGCCTTTTGATTGTTACTGAGTATTAAAGGTGATACTGTCCAACTGTCCAGAAGGTTCATGATCTCTTCTCTAAGCAGGATCTGGAACCCATTAACATTAGTGGATCGTTAGGGATACTTTCCTTGCGATAAGCTGCCTCACTTATTTCACCACAGATGCCTTTGACAAAATCCCCAAGTCCTCCTAGAGATCTGTTGTGGGGGTTTTTTGTGTGGTTTGGTCAGGTTGGGGTTTTTTTGTAGTGGATAGAGCATTGAACTATTAAAATACCAACTTTCTGATCTGAAATTCCTCAGAGGCATTTTGTATGTGTTAAATAGTGTAGGCTAATGCCTGATTTAAAGAGCAACTGAACTTAAAGCACTTCACTGCTGAGCTACTTATTTGCTTTATACATTCAAGCTATTTCAAATTTGACTACGAAGAAAACAATAATGTGTACGACATCATCTCTGAGCAAATGAATGCTTTTGCCTTTCTGTACTCTCTCAAATATTCTTTTAGCCATGTACTTCAGAAGCTGATATGAAGGAAAGGGTTCATCCCAGCATCCTATTAGGATTTCCAAGAGCACAATCATCAAATTGCTCCATTTGGGACTAGCAGATTTTCAGGGAAGGGGTCATCTGCACACCAAAGAGCATTCTAAGTAATTTGGTTTGTTCCCAGAGCTCAGACACTCAGACCGCTTTGAAACAACTGGGAGCTGGAAAAACATCCAGAATATTTAACATGCAAATGAGCGTAACAAGAATCCTATTTTGTTTTTATAATTCCTGCATTCAGTACAGCTAGGACAAGCAGCTTTCTCAAAACAGGGCAAGAGTTCTATCGTTTCTCAGTTGGTTTGTTAGAAGCAGTTACAGGCATCATCTTTCCTAGAATTTATACTTTTCTCCTCATAACCATTTTTGTATTTGCCTCACTAATAAAACAATCATAAAATTAATGAAGTAAAAAGAACATTTTCTGAACAAGAATAATAAAAGGCTCCCCTCTCTTCCTTCTTAACTATATAAGGCTTCCTTATTCCACATGTTCCTATATCTGTGCTTTATGAACAGTTCAGAAGATTTGACTGTGGGAATTTACATTTGAGGGTTGGTTTTGTGTTTTGTTTTTAATGAAAGCAAAAATTACATTTTCTCCATTATGATATATAGTATTTTAATGTTCTAATTATGTAAATATTGAAATGTTCTTGAAGAGAACAACACACAGAAGCGTCCTTACAACAAGCATTTCTTTACATGTCAAAATTCCAATCAAAGGAAATGCATTCTTTGCAGATCACAGGCAGAAAGACTAAAATAGAAATGGGATCTTCCCATTGTAACAATGAATCAGCAACAGATACACAATCACATGATTCGACTATTCTTCTGAGATGTTTCATTCAATCCATTTACTATGATGCAGATGTTATTAAAACAACCAATAGCCAACTATATATTAGAATATATAACTTGAAAAAAATGAACAGCTACAACAGTGGGAGCCATAATAAAAAGAAAAACCAAACTTCACTTTAGTCCTTAAAATTACTTTTTTTTTTTTTAAGTCTGTAAAGTCATTATCTGTGTTGCTTAAGTCTCCTCTAGTGTCAGCTCCTACACAGTCTCAAATGAAAGATCCTGGAACCAAAGGGCCACATGTGTGCATGTGCACACACACAGCACAATCCTGTGTACGCTGATGGGCGTGGACAAACAAGCACTTGCTCTGTTTGCATACTTCACTCAAGAGATGCGAGCCAGACCCAGCCCAGAAGGTGCACGGACACGTTAGTCTGGCTTTGGCAGCACAACAAACCAGCATAAATGATCAGCTTTCCATCAATATGGAATCTATGCAGTGAGCCTCAATGCTGAACCTTTCTGCTATACACAGAGAAAATCCTTTTAAATACTTTAATAACAAGTCCCTGTACATTTTCTAAGTTTCTTTTCTTAGTTTAATATAACCTCAAAGTATCTCTTCCCTCTTTTTCTGAAGATAAATGTGATATACTATTTAAAGAACGCTAACAAATAATTCAGCAGTTCGTCCTTGTATATTATACTCAGGAAAACCCTGCGTCCTGCACGCAAACCAAAAACATAACTGACTGTTCCTATCACACACTG